TTTTGACGGCGTGAGGCAAAAAAACTTCATCTGGAGTACTGCTATGGGGCCTGGGTTCTGCTCAATGTCTCCGCTTAGCAGTGGCTTTTGCCGTTGCGCCTCGCATACGGCAAACAAAAGGCATGTATAGCGCTGATAAGCGCCGATGGAATTCAGCAGCGGATGGAAATACCGCTCCGCGGGCAGCCATGTACATGGCTCCATCTGGTGCCCTTCCGACCCGTTTGTTCGGCTCCTACTACCTATCCGCGTGCAGCGGATGGGAAGCAGGCGCTTGGCTTCCTCTCTAGCAAAGAGTACTAGACCCTGGCACCACATTGAGGTGGCCGGCTGAGCCAGGGGATGCCTGTATTTCGTTCAATGCTCCTTTATCACGGATATACTTCGTGGGGTCCTTGAAAAACTCCTCCGGCAAGACATCCCGATTGGTGTCCACAATGCCCCTGCCGTCCAGTTCCCTCGTAAGAAAGTCGTTCAGCTTCATTTCATTGACGCGAGCTCTTCCTTTAAACAGTACTTCTTCGATATTAGTGGAAATGGTAAATTCCATTTCTTGCGTTCGTCTTAGCCTTTCCTCTGCCTCCCGCCTCGCTTCTCTCAGTACCTGCGTGAGTACTCCGTTTGGTTTTCCCCTTGCAAGAGGAGTGATCGTATCCTTTTCTTTCACAGCCCCTACGTTGCCCGAGAGAGAACACACCTTCGTGAAGAGGCTTAGTAATGGCCTCCAGCGCTTGGTACGCAGTTAAGTTGAGAATTTCTTCAGGAAGCCGCTGGTCTTGTACGTAATCATCCGGCTCCTGAACAAACATCTCCATCGTCAGATTGTATTCTTTCATCAACGGCCGCCCTGCCGCCAACATAATTCCAAAGGAAATCGTTCAGCATCATGTTGGTGCTGAGAGTGTCTCCCTCCTGCAGGATTTCCTCTACGCTGCTGCTCATAGTCCACTTTGGTTGCTGCGTTCCCTCCACCCCACGTGTCGAGTTGCAGCGTCGGAACCATCACAAGAGCCGCTGCAAGGCGCCATCACAACACCCGTGCGGTGAAGCATCCCACTCGCACCGCCCAACTGCGGCCTGCAGGTGCCGCTGGCTCCAAAGGACACTCGCGGCTGTTTCGTCCCGCAGTCCCAATGGCGTTGGGCGCGGCACTCGCACGGCAGGGCGGTCGATGCGCCATGCAGCCGCACTGCAACGCCTGTCGGTGAAGCAGTCAAGGCCCACCGCCCCCGCAGCAACACAACGTGCAATCAACCCCAACACCGCCACATTATCGTCCTTTTTTATTTTGTTTTATTCACGTTGTCTGTCCGTTTGCCCCATCACCGACACCAAAAATAAGTGCACACCTTCACAAAAGGGAAGAAACAAAGAGAAAAGGAGGCACGATCCCACCGTCACGCAGCGGGCCAACACTCTCCTCCACGCACAGCCATTGCCGCGCAGGGGACCGCAGTCACATCGCAGAGTCAACACCACAATGTGCACCGCACCATCGTGCAGTGAACGATGGGCGAGACGCAGCCATGCATCGCCCCGCTCCATTTTACCGCCCCTCAGGTTTTGCGTGCCCACACATGGTAGCAAACAGAATCAGAGTGCACACAAACCCAATCAACCCCTCACTCGCTGAAGCACATTACTTCGCATGGAGTGACAACAGTTAAGGACAAAACCAGCAGTAGCAGGCTGCATGGAATTTCCCTGCCAACCCTGCGAAGAGACACAACAACTCTGCGGAGTCAAGGTGACAGCCCCTCGGTGTTGCCCGCAGTTCACATGGCAGGACAAATTCCACGCACGCATAGCTCCGGACTCCTCGCTGTTTGAGTGCCCAACAGAACATGTGTAAAAAATGCCTGCGCGCAAGACGGAATTAAATGCGTGAAAAGTCAGCCTGCTTTCTCCGATGGCGTTGGCGAGCAGTCCCACAAAATCCAATCAAAGTGGCACGCCGGACAGAATGGCGCCAGTCAATCAATAGAAAAATGCGACACTGAAAAGGAGCAGAGAAGAGTTGGCGCATGCGACTGCCAGTGACAACTGTGAGCAAACCCGCCAGCACCAACTGAGGTGCCGAGGAGCACGCTTGTGTAGAACTGGCCGTCAGGCAGAGAGGACAAATAAAACAAAAGGGCAGCAAACCCTCTCGTTCAATGTCTTCTGACCGCGACACCAGAATCAAAATACAATGGACGATAAGAGCGGCAACGCCTTCTCCAAAACATCTTGTCAAGAGGCCGCAGGACCTCAGGAAGGGAGGAAGGCAGCGGCGGCAGCCACAGCGGGGGAGGCAATAAAACGGCTGGCAGGCACCCTCACGTCGACGCGCACACCACATCCGAGTGGGCTGGGAGCACAGATCGAACCGCTCGGAAACACACGCATCAAATCCGCAAAACAAAGTCGCGTTGAATCGACAGGAACTCCCCGCCCAAAACAAATTTAAAAAGTGGCGTTTTTCAAGGGGGAATCCGCTTTTCCGACGACGGCACGGACGCCTCGCAGAAATTTCTTGCAAATCTCCCTTCGCAGGTCCGCAAAAAAAACGCGGCGTAATAAAAAGAAAGGCGCAAAGACGCAAAAAAAATAATCCTCCCAACCGACCAGGTGGCAGGCCGCCCTCGCGCAATTAAAAAAAACACAAATTCACTCCGGTCTTGTGGTGGTCGTCTCGCAACATTTTTTTTCTTCTAGTCGCAGTGCACATCCCCCTCCCACAAATCATTTGTTCGGGCCATGCTCCTGCGGCCAAACATCGCGCTGCTGGATCCCGCGGCACAGTCCTCGGCACAGAAGTGAGGGAAGGAACAGGGACCGCAGGAGGTGCGAGCAAATCCGAATTCGGTGGCGGTCGCTGCAGTGAAGATTGACGTCCCACGCGGTGTCCCTTTTCTAGGTCCGGTCCTCACCGTGCCATGCTCTCAGCGTGCGGTGCGCCGGACGCTCCGAACATCCACACGTGCATGCGTCTCACCGTCGCTACCAGCCCCGTTCGTTGGCTGCATCAGGGATGCCGCCATCCGGAGACGGGCATAAGGACGTTGCATCCAACAAAACCTTCAGAGGCACCCGGTGGGCCAACGACGACCATCACTGCGGGATGTGTGGCCCTTCCGCCGCTCACTTCAAATCGCACTTCTACGCTTCCTCGAGCAGCAGCAGCAGCAGCAGCATAAATACACCGGTCCACTAGGGGCCGTCACCAGCCATTGCAGGAAGACCGCTGTGCCTCGGTGCTATGAAACCCGAATTGCATTGACGGGCCACTTCGGAAAATCCTGTCGCATCCTCCCCAATTATGCGGAGACACATCCGTCGTGCATGTGTCCACCGCAGCCAAATAATCCGGTCCAAATACCCTCCAAATCAAATTCCCCTTTCCTCAAGCCATTCCCTCATTCCATACGCCCTGACCCTCATCCGCACGTGCCCGCTCACACAAGCCGCCAAAGAATGGTGGTGGCTGCTCAACGCTCCGGAAAAACATGCCCAGCACGCACAATAAATGGCATGCGCAAACGCACGAAACAACGGCGGAGAAGTGCACACCGAAAGGATGCGGCCCTCCACAGCAGTCGCAGCCCACCGCGGTGCATCACACCCGCAGGAAGAGTGACTCGCGGTGCGCGCTCCCTCTCTCCTCCTTCCCTTCATGCCCACGGAGGAAGCAGCAGCCACCCGCAACCGCCAGCACACGCTACAAAAGAAGCATCAAAATCCACTGCAATGTGCATCTTGTGCGTGCATGTGGTTGTGTGTGCCTGCAGACACACGAGGCAAAGAAGCAAAAACAGGAGCAGAGCATGTGAAGGGACGCACAAAAACAGTACAGCAGAGGTGCACGGCAGAAATAAAGAGAAAAATGCTGCTCAAGCTCATGATATTGCACCGCAAACCAAGCGGCGGCAATTCATAAAAAAGTTATCAAAATCAAAAAAAAAATTCATCTTCACCTTCCACACCTCACACATTGGAAAAAAAAAATTTGATAAAAAAAGGAAAAAGAAAAAAAAGAAATTTTGAAAAAAGTCCTCCTCTATTACGGCCACACACAAATAATTAAAAAAGAAAAAAAAAACACAAAAAAAGCACCCAACTACCATGCTGCTTCAGAAACTGTCTGCATATATTTTGTTCTAAAATAAAATTGAAAAGATGGTTACGTGTGTTTCAGCCGTCTGACCCTCCATGTGTGTCCGCACACCGTTTATATTTCATGGGGTCATCTGCGTGTTGCTGCTCCCCTCAGCCCTCTCATCGGCGTGTGAGTGCGGCCCGCAGAGCACAGTCACTCGTGTGTGCATGGGGGCTGAGAGAAGCACGCAGACATGACGGGAGTCGCGTCACTCCATCGGAAGTGTGAGCGCAAAAAAAGAAAAAAAAATCATCAGAGGGGAGAGAAATGCTCGCGAGGCCGACACCGAAGGGACTGCCAGTGCAAAAAACACACACGCAGTGAGAAAGTCAAAGAGAGCAAGCAAAATTCCTTTTTAAAAGCGGCAGGGTGTGGCTGTGTGTGTGGCGCTGCGGGTGTCTGCCCGCCCTGGCCGCAAAGAAAACAAAACAAGAGGGAAAGAAATGTGTGCTCCGCCCCACCGGCCCTCGTCGCACGCCCACACGTCACGGCTCCCTCAGCGCGCCGTTCGTCGCGGCCCCTCCTCATGCGTGCAGCAGGCGAGGCGCACAGGGCCGTCGTCATGAGCGTGTCGGTGGGTGTGCGAGTGGAGCAGTTGGGCGGGAAACACACGGCACCCCTCACAGGAAGAGTGCAGAAGAAACAATTTAAAAAGGGAGGAGTAGAAAAGAAGAAAACGTCCATAGTGGTTGCCCTAAAGCAACAAGCAAAAGAAGGGAAGTGATTTGCAAAAAAGAAAGCAAAAGCAAGGGAAAAAAAAAGGAAAAGAAAAAATGGAACTAACAAAATCCATTGGGTAATGCCGGGATGCCGCTCAGTTGTTGCTCCACAGAATTTCGCAACTTTGCTCTTTCCAATTCATTCAGCAGAGAGCCGCAGTGCCCCACAGCCCCAGAAGCAGCAGCAACAGCACCCGAGACACACACCCATGCACGGTGCTGTCACCAATTAGATACATGGCTGCCAACTCGCCGTAATGCCCGTGCTCAAGCAAAATGTCAGTGTCTGAGGGTGTTGTTGCGTTGGACTCCGATGGGATCTCGGTTTCCCCAGGCGTGGTGTTTGTATTACCCGGTGCGGTTTCGACCGTCTGTGGCACCTCCTTGCCGTTTTCAGAAGAAACTTCGGCTCCGTCAGTCCGAGAGATGTTGTCGGTGTCCTCCGCGGATGTCGGTTCGACGTCACTCTTTGAAGGAGTGGGGCTGCTGTCTGAGCCCATTGTTCTCTCGGAATTTCCGTCGCCCGCCTCGAGGCTGAGGCTTTCCTCCGCGCCAGTGGTTCCGTTTCCAGTGGACCGCACGTCGTCATTTTCAGTGGCAAGCTCAGTGCTTTGTCGCACTTGGTGCTCACCGTCCACTGGTCCGGCGGCCGTTTCCATACTCAACGACGCACCCACTGGAGACGTTGTTTCGCCACTCCTGCCATTCGCTTCTCCCTCCTCCTCTGGCTGTTCTTTATCATTACTTTCAGCGGATCCTTCAACATCAGCAATCTCCGTTGATTTCGTGGACGGTAGTTCTCGTGGCTGCACCTCCGAATCCCGTTGCATCGATTTATTGTCTTCATTCAACGTGGCTTGCTGGGCCGTTTTGCCTTCGGAAAGCTGGAAATTGTTCTCTTGATGAGAATTCCCCGCGCTCTCCACTGCAATGGCGGGTTCGGAAACAGAGGATCCCGCGACAACCGTGAAAGAGGGCGCTGCAGGCACCGGATCATCGGCGCTTTCTTCCTCTTGTTTATCAGTATCACCCTCAGCCAATTTCTCATAGGTGGTGCTTTCTTCACTCCTTGACTCGGAAGCAACTGAGACGTCTGTGCTGGCCACCTGCCCTGTGGACTTTTCCTCAACACCCAGTGATGGAATAGTGACCTTGCTGGCATTGAGTTTATGCAGCTTATCACTTAAGAGTCTCTCATTGTACAGCATGACGTTGGTCACCGTCACATGGCCGCCCGTTGCACTTCGGTCCTTACTGTCCCCACCGATGTAGAAGTGTGAAATCCTGTGCGAGTTAAACAGATGGTCATTATATTCCGTGTTGTGGATTTCCTTTCCATCTACAAAGACACTCCATTCTTCATAATCCATTCGCAGTACCACCTGATATGTCTTGTTTGGCTCCCACCCATCAACATCCTCCCACTCATCAACATCCTCCACATTACCAGGATTCCCCGGTATGGCCAGCCACTTCTTGTCGTGGGTGTATGACAGACCAAAAAGGACCGTGCTGCTGGTGTCATTCATCCTCACACCCATCAAAGGAACGGTGCTGCCACTCTGCGGCACCTCGTGGATGGACACCGTCGCCACAAGAGTGAACTTGTTGTTCGCAAAGTAGTAGGGCACAGTCTGCCCCATGTCGCCAACAGGCCACACCGCCCATGCTCCGGACCCTTTGAACGTCAGTCCATTGGGAACCACTATCCTTTTTTCCGCCGGCCCATGGACAATGGCATTCACGCCGAGGTACTCGTCACTCCATGTGTTCTCAGAGATGTTACCGGACAAGAAGCCAACAAGCTCGTCAGTGGGAACAGGACCATTGCACATGCCCTTTCTGAGCGCGTCAACAGTGCCGCTGGAACCGGAACTGCATGTTCTCAAGACGCTGTCCAAATCCTTCCATGTCTTCACAACTTCCTTTATCCGCTCCAGTTTCTCGGTCAGACGCAAAGCAACAAGATTGTATGATCCGTCGCTCTTCTTGTTCTCGTACAGTGAAATCAACTCCTCCTTATTATCCCTTTCATTCTTCATCAACAGCGAGCTGGCGGCAGCGTCATCTTCTTCACGGGATACCGGCCCAACATCATACACACGTGCACTGTCCGTCACCCAAAGATGGAGCCGACCCTTTCCACCTTTATTTTCCTCCTTCGGATACACCGGCGCGGTGATGAGCATCACCTTCTTTTCCTCAATGATTGCGGTGGTGGATCCACTCTGGACGCCGTACCCCTTTCGTTTGTGTGAGTTGCCCCACACGCGGGTAATTGATTTTAGGTGATCATACCAATTGACTCCATCCAAAGTGGACCTGTAAACGTCATAGTAGCCTCCAGCACAATGAGCCATCATGAAGAGTCTTTCGTGTTCTTCGTTTTCTTCCCACTTCACCAGGGTTGGATCCCTGCAGCCGTTACCAGTCGTCTCGGATGAAAGCTCCCATCTGTTCCCTGACTTGGGGAGACGCATAGACAGTAAAACGCTCGTTCCATCCTTTTCTTTGGCCTGCATGGGAAACACAAGCGCGCCGTCACGCATCACAGCACCCGATCCTCCACCGCCAAATAACTCGGTAAAGGAAAGAGATGCTCCTCTGCCTTGAGGGTTCACCAAATGGGTCTCATTCCATCTGATTTTCTTCTTTCCACCCTCATCAGCGACAGTTCCCTTCACGAGTAAAAGGCCCCGCTCATTCTTACCTTCAACCTGCGGCCTTGTATGGCTGTAGTTTCCCAGGAGCACGTAAACACTTTCCCCAAGTACAAGTGTCGTTGGTCGCTTTATGCCGTTTGCGGTGTTGATACCCTCAGACCCTTCCTTTAGAAGATCTGCGCCAAAGATACTTGCATCTGCCGTCGAGATCTCCGTTGGACCAGCATCAACATTTAAACCAAGGTACTTTGACGCAATCCCAGTAAAGCCGACTGCGCTGCACTTGTCTCCATCCTTGCAATGGGCTTCAGCAATAGCAAATAAATGACCCTGCACCTCAACAAGGCTGGGGACGCGGAGCGAAGCACTTTCGGTATTGATCCCAACGTCCTGCCAAGTGGCATCTATCCTTTTCGTCCCTGTAAATGGATTAATGGCAATAATTGACTTACCGCCCCCGGCGGCAGCAGCTTCACCAGTGCCGCAGCACATCAACACGACGAGGAGGAGCAGCACCGCAGAATCAAACACACGCCGGGACATGTTGGGCCTCTGCGGCTCACTCTCTCCTCCTTCCCTCCTCTTTCCGCCGGATCCGGTCATGCGGCGACAGTTGTGTGTGCGGGGCGCCATGACTGCAGCAACACGTGAGAGCATACAAATATGTTTGTGTGGGTAGTGTGTGTGCTGTTGGTCCTTTCAGAGCCTTCGAATTTCACAGTGGCGATTAGCGCTTGTTTTCTTTCCTAGTGTGTCTGCGTTCAAGAAGTGGAGAGTACAGCAGCAACAGCGGCAATACACCAGAAAGGTCAGTGGGGAGCAGAGCACAACACCCACGCAGTGAGCGGGACACGAGACAATCCGGAAGGGACAGCACGGAGGACCATCGCCCACAGAAAAGAGCAGCAACACGGCAAGTCACGGCGGGCCGTCGGTGTGTGCAGACCAACCCTCACGCGGTGTAACACGCCACACCCAACAGGGAATGACAGACAGACAGGCGGAGATGAATGGATGCCGTCAAGAGGCACTCAGAATCAACATGGCCCGTGAGCATTTGGCCACTCCACGCAGGAACACAGGAGAAAATGGTGAGAGGGAAAAGCAAGAAGCAGCACAAACACACAAAAGAAACAAACGACAGGCGGGAAAAGCACCGCCACGGCCCTCGCCCTGGCCGGCAACTCCACACCAGCCCTCACACACACACCATCGCAGTGCCGTCAGTCCGCGGGTCAGAAAGTTCGGTCCTCCACACAACAAACGCACACACCGCCAGCAGTCAAACACCGTGGACGAGGAGAAGGGACACACCGCCACCGCCTCCAGTTCAGTCCCACGGCCAACGGGATACGGCCACAGCCCGCTGCCGGCACACAACGCACACGGAGCAAGCAATCACCCAAATAGCCACACGCGGAAACGGATCCTCATCCAGCCGTGACGCGGCGCCTCACTCCACGCGGTCACACGGAGTGCACTGTTTCCTCAATAGAACTTATTCGTCGTCCATCCCTTTAAGATGCCTCTGTTAGTGATGGGCCTTCGAACACAATAGAAGGAAATGGACAATGCGGTAACGCCGTGACACCGCCAGCCACAATGATTCTCTCATACCGGGCAATTCTCCAATTACGCCTCGTACGCACACACAATCAACATACCATATGAAAATCACCCAATGTTTTTCACCAGAAGCCAAACAACCCTTTTCCCTCCCTCCTTAATTTATTCTGCCACTGTTATGTTCGATAGCGTTGGACATTTTGGCATTTGTGTGCGGTGCTGCCGCACGGGGCTGGTACACCCGCATCGTATGCATACAAACAAGCAACCAAAAATACATAACTCCCGCAATATTTTTTACCACAAATCAAAATGACTCGTTCACTTTCAATTTCCTAGGCTATTTTCCTATTATTATTATTTTTTTTTTTTGCACACTTTGGAGAGCTTCGTCTCTTCTAAAGTCTCTGTACGATATTGACACTTGGTACTGGCGCACCTCTTCCTCACAGAACGCCGCAATTTCATTGTTGTCCGCGCCGCTCACATTATTGGAATTGTCGACATCACATCCCCGCCAGTTTTTTTTTTTTTTTTCTACTCTTACCAGCGCGTCTAGCTATACAATGCCATCTGAGTGCCGAGGAGGTTGTCGAGCAGCGACAAAAGTTTCCTGCTGTGAAGCAACTGCCATTGAGAGAACTTTCCGTGGCGAAGGTCCCGTTCAATGCCCAGCCGTTGGCGCACAGCCAAGGTGCCTGGACATTCTAGAAGCAGATGGTGCAAGGTTTCCTGCGGGCCAATTGGCGTGCTTGTGGAGGCAGGCTGATCCTGCGGCAGCAGAGATCGTCTCCTGGCACTTCTGTTTAGATGTCGTGTGGCGTCTGAGTTGTGTGCGCAGCGACTTCTGTGCGGTGCGGTGCTTCTCCGTGTGGGGAAAACCATATCACAGAAATCGCATTTGAGCTCGGGAAGCGGTGGAGGATGTTCCGGATGAAATGACCGACGGTGGCTGGTGAGATTTGAGAATCCCGTCAATGTAGAATCACAGTACGGACATTTCTCCTTCCGAAGGCGTGTGACGGTTCGTCGCCTTACTGGAGAGACGCCTTCATCCCTTGCCAACGGGGGAACAGTGTCCATCCCCGGTGCAGTTGGATCGTTGTTAGAGCGCATATATGCAGACTGTTCCGGTGAGATGTTGCAGAAACGGCGTTGGTTCGTGCAATCTCTCACAGCCCAGTATAGTCGACCCCAGAGCTCAGATTCCCCGCACCTGGCCCTAGCGAGGTGAACCAGTTCTTGACGGTAAAGAAATTCCTGGGTGATCAGGTCCTTACCGCTGAGATCTGATGGCCTTGTGCCGCAAAGCAAGTAGCGATGAGTGTCTTGACGAATCGTACTACGCCACTTGTTGGTGAGCTGGGTAGCAAAACATGTCAGCAGATCCGTATGCCATAAAGGTGCGATTCCTTGCTCCGTGTATTGTCCAGTCTCCATAGCCTGCGTCGCATACTGATCTGCAAGCTCGTTAGCATGTACCCCACAATGTCCGCAACAAAACTGCGGGTGCACGGACCAGCCAGCACACGTCAGTGTCAAGAGACGCTGCCAGATCCGGTCCTCCGTCCAGTCGGTCTGGCTGAGCGGACCCTTGTTGAGGGCCACTAGAAGGGACTGGCTGTCTGCAACCACAAGCAGGGTTTTATGCCTGTGTTGGATACGAGGGATGATCAGCCTTTCTAGGGCTAGAAGCAGCGCACGGGATTCCGTCCTGTAGCTGCATGGGCGTGTGCCGCAGTTTATACTGGCCTTTTCTATTATTTCCGATGAATTGAGGGATGAAAGCAGTATTCCAACCCCGGCTGACTTGGGAACGTCGACACCGCCATCCGTCGCGAGTATCCACGAACGATGGCTGTGCAGCGCTAGAGCCTCCTCGCTGACTCTGCGCTTTTCCCTTATCAGCTCTTCTTCGTCAGTTATTGAGGGATCTATCGGAAGTTCCACGCCAATGGTGACCCGGTGTGCGGAGGCCGCAAACCAGGGAGGAATGGAGCTGCGAAAGAACCGCTCTTCGTGTGGTGAGCTCTGGGTGATGCCATAGTCCTTTGTGTATGCGTCTACGAAGGCATATAGCTCGTCCCGAGACAATAGCGAGATGCGGAAACCTGTGCGAGGCGGTGGCTCAGGCGGAGGTCTCCGCATCCAGTCCATCTGACAAGCGCATGTGTTCTCAAATATGGAGAGGCGCGCGCAGGCAAAGGACATGGAGCGGCGGCATATTAGCCTCTAGAAGCGCGGATTCCGGGTCGACAGTGCTCGGAACTCCGCTGACAATGCGCGCCAGAGTTGCGTACGCATTTTGCATCTCATTCTTCGCTGAATCCGTCGCTACTGCCCATATGAGCTCGCTGCCATAGCGTAATTTGGAAGCACCGTATCCAATGACGAACGTGCGTAGGTCATGTGGAGATGGTCCCTCCTCTTTATTTGCAATGCGGCGTAGATGCGATATCCGTTGCGATGTGGCAGCGCATTGCTTGGTGGCCGCCACATTTAGCGTCAGTCGTGGACCGAGGTCCATGCCAAGAAGCTTCGTAGTTCGCGATGCCCCCATGGTCATGACTGGGATTTTACATCCAGCCACTACCAGCGGCCACTTTCCTTCACGATCATAATCTGACTCCGTGTGCGTGGAGAGTGTGAACCAAGCGGCTTCACGCTTTGACGGGTTGATGGCCAGGCCATTTTCCTGACTCCACGCATGCAGTTTTGTAAGAACTATGTTGGCAGTGG